ATTATATTTTTAAAATTTTGTAGGAAGCCATCTAGAGTGGCTGGGGAAACCCAGCCAGATGGGTGGGGTATAAATAAATTATTATTATTATTATTATTATTATTATTATTATTGGAACAAAAATTGAGGAACCTTAGAAATGGCAGACTTCATCCACTCCTCACACCCCTGCTCCCTTATCCTCTTATGTCCCTCCAGTCCTTTTGAGATGAGCCAAAATTCCCTATTTTGTCCAACCCAGTGAACTATGGTTTTGCACTTGCCCTGCAAACTAGGCTCACAACCTAGGATCAAACCCCAGGGCAAGCAGAATCCATTATTTGCTGGTTCTGGTAAAATGGCAAACAATGGTTCACCTCAGACATGGATCAAAGGGGTGTTTGATCATGGTGGGCAGGGGAGGGCTGGGAGCGCTGATTCTCATTGCTCACTCAAGAAACACAAAACTTTGGTCTGTTGCTATGTCTGAACACTCCGGTGTTACCTGAGCAGTTACCCCTGTAATGATTCTAGACCTCTTCCTGTTTTAATTGCTGGATAACCAGACATATATAATGTAGAGGGAGCCTTGCTTCAATGGAGACAGCCAAGAGGGTACACAGCCCTGTTGGTTTTTTAAATAATAATGTCAGCAGTGGTGCTAGAGGGAAAACACAATCTGAATAAGATATAAGAAAATGATATTGAAATGTCAGGACATGCTTATGGGGGTAAGTTTACACTGTGTTTTTCTTTTTTCCTCCCCATCCCAACATTTTAAAAGAAATGCTCTTGTATGTGTTTATGCACATATGCATTCATCTTTCACTTTACTTTGTATGGTACTTGATACTTGAATTAACAACACGCACCCCGCTTACATCAGGGATCAGCTCCACTCCCAAGTGGAGCCAATCCCAGCAGAGTTTGCATTTTGATCCAAATGCAAAAGGTGTCAAACACAAGCCCCTCTTGCAGAGTGCAGCTTAAGACTTCAGATTGTTCCTTTGCAGACACATCAGGTTGGACTGTTTGACATTAATGGGGCAAAAGTGTGTATACCTTCTATACACACTTACCTCAGAGTAAATCTCATTGAACTGTGTAGGACTTTCTTCTGAGCATCCCATAATTTTGCATTGCAAAACAGGTTAGTTCAGAGTACGCAGCAAGCCAGGGGGGAATGTGTCTCTGTGCATTTTAAGCAGCTATCGCTCTATCTTACTCCCACCACTCTGAAAATAGGACGCTGGCACGGAGACCCAGCTTGGCTTTCCTATTATGCTTTACTTCGCTTGCCCTTTTTTCAAACATGAATTGCTCATTGTTTGCCTTTTGTATTGGTAATTACGGGGTGCGTGTGTACCCCACGTGGGGATTTTGGCTCGGGATACGTTCAGTGGTGCAGTATCCCCGAGAAAGGCAGAGAGCTATATTATGTTGAAAATGCTTCAGGAGAACTCGGGCTTTGAAAAGTCAAACCAACAAAGAGGTTCTTGACATGGGCAATTTTCAGAAATTGCAAGCAGGCCATTCCACAAAGACACCATCCATTTACCGTCTTGGTGATTGATAATAAGGAGGGGGAAGCAATCTCCCAAAGCAATTATTATGGGCTTGGTTATGAGTTCTATTGCGTACCAACAGAGTGGAGAGAAGGGCTGTGTTATTTTCTCCACGGGCTACCAGGGCATGAGTGGGAAGAAAGTGATGGACAAAACATTTTTGGCTTGTTTGCGTTTTTCTGTGAGGAGGTGGGTGGATTGAGAGTGGGTGGCCAAGAGCACATAGCCCCCAGGAATCAGATAGGTAGAGTTATTCAGGCAGGCTGTTTTGCTGTCCACAGTGGCTTCATGATGGTGCAGGAACTTCGTTGTAAGTTTGAGGGCACATCTAGAAAGGGAGCCCATGCGTACCTCCACATGGGTTCAGCCTGTTGTATCTGCAGTACGAAAGATCAGGTAGCAGGTGGTGCAAGACCTTCCTTTGCCCGAGTCCACAGCCAATGAGAGAAGACGGTACTGGGGAAGGTGGACAAAAAGTCTGACCTGGTACAGCAGCTTCCTGTTGATCTCGTTCTTTGCATGTAGAGGACCTTTGCTCCCAAGGACCTTCAGTGACATAGGAAGCTACCTTATACTGAGTCAGACCCATTGGTCCATCTCAGTGTTGTCTATCCTGACTGGCAGTACCTCTCCATGGTTACAGGCAGGAGACGTTCTCAGCCCTCCCTGGGAGATGTTGGAAATTGGGGGTGGGGGTGGGATCTCAGGTAGCAGGGTCTAAAAGAGGATTATTCTTGCAACCTTTGTGAGTCACTGCCAGAATTGACTGGGAATTGGTAATTGGAGAGCCCTGGGAAAACCCAACCCATTGAACCCTACAGGGAAAGGGCCATAGCTCAGTGGTAGAGCACCAGTATTGCATGCAGAATGTACCAGCCTCAATCTCCAGGATCTTTAGTAATTAATAATAATAATAATAATACCCCACCCATCTGGCTGGGTTTCCCCAGCCACTCTAGGTAGTACTGAGAGAGACTGTGTCTGAAATCCTGGAGGACTGCTGGTAGTCAGTGTAGACAGCACCGAACTGGATGAACCAATGGTCTGATGCAGCCTAAGATAGTTTTCTGTGATGTCTGAGTCCTGATTACTGAAAGAAAGATTTCTGAATGTGGAATTGCCCACTCCTTACACAAAGTGAACATCTGGAAAAACTAGTTGCTGGTCATCATAGGAAATAGTGAGATAGGTTGGCCAGTGGTCTGACTTGGTATAATGCAAGCACTTCAACTCCAATATATCCATTTTCTGCCCTTGGGTTCTGCCATTTTGCCAGACATTGAATGCCTGTTTTCAATATTCATTTCACACACACACACACACACACACACACACAGAGAGAGAGAGAGAGAGAGAGAGAGAGAGAGAGAGAGAGAGAGTCTTAAGTGGTGCTTTGTTTTTATTGAATGTCTTTCACACGGTGTCAAGTGCTACACCCAATACGACTTCTTAGCACTTCCATATTACGCATTTTGTTAAATTCCTGTTGCTTGATATTAATGCACTTTCCTAAATAAATAGAATGCTTGTCAGACTCTATCTGGGAAGAAATAATAATATATATACAGTATATATATTGTGGTCATTTGTACATTAGGAGATTAAGATATAACCCTGACCCCAGAAGATCAATCACATTTATTACTTCTTATTGTAGATGGATAATGAACGAAATTCTAATACCTCAAAGCAGAGATACTCTGGAAAAGTCCATCTTTGCATCGCTCGATATAGGTAATGTCAACCCACCAAGCAGGCCTGTATATGAACTGTATTTTTTATTTTTCAAAACTTGAAATGCTTTTTTAAAAAACTGATTTATTAGCAGTCAATGCAAAATACTACATGTGGCATCCATAAGAGAGTATAGGGGGTCCACTATAAAGAAGACACATCAACGGGGGTGGAAAACACAAAAATTATTCATTTTGACAGCATCCCTTTAAAAGCTGTTGGTGGGGGCCAGTCATGCTCTTAGATAGTAGCGTAAGTGACAAATTGAAACAACTTTTGCATTGGCCTCTTAAGTACTCAGCTGCATCTCAGTTTTTCTAATGATGCAATATCCCACACCATTGTATGCCAATATTCTCTCTTTTATCCTCTCCTTTAAGTGGTCTTATTAACCTCAAAGTTTGAGCCCTGCCACAAATCACCAGGAAATGGTAAATTTTTTGGTCTGCCTGAAAGATGTTTCCTGCATTTCAGGCACTGGGGAGAATGAGAGGTGAGCTGGCCATTTTACCTGCTGACTGGCCACTTTCAGGGACCATGGGCAGAAGTGAAAGCAGTACTTTCTCTTGCCCACTCAGAGTCCTGCTGCTGAAATAAGTTGCCTTTCACATCTTGGGATTTCTCTCAAACTACAGTGGTACCTCGGGTTACAGACACTTCAGGTTACAGACTCTGCTAACCCAGAAATAGTACTTCAGGTTAAGAACTTTGCTTCAGGATGAGAACAGAAATCATGCTCCAGGGGCGCGGCGGCAGTGGGAGGCCCCATTAGCTAAAGTGGTGCTTCAGGTTAAGAACAGTTTCAGGTTAAGAACGGACCTCCAGAACGAATTAAGTTCTTAACCCGAGGTACTACTGTATACGATTGTGACACCGTTGTTTTTTTTTAATATCCTGCATGTGTGGAAAGTAAGGCAGTCATGTTCCCAATTGTCAGGGCTCCTGAAAATTCATTGTTAGCATAGATGCTGAAAAACTACTGGGCCAGCAGAAATAATGTCCAAGGAGGTGGATAAGGCAAGGCTCAATGAGAAGGCACTGGGAAAGGCTGAGTGAGACAAGGTGGGGCCCGTTGCAAATTGAGTTCATACGCTGCTTAGACTTAAGAAACAGACTTCTGCAAGAAACAGAGGTCACGTCTTGCCCCTTGGCCTACTTTGTGTTCTGGGGGTTGGTGCATGGTTGATTCCTCTTTCTGCAGTCCCCTCCAGTGGTTGCAAGCCCTGACATCCTTGTCTGACCCTCCCAAGGGTCCCAGGCTCAGGACCTGTCATGGCCTTGATGCCTGAAACTGGCATGTTACTTGCCCAACACTACCCTGCTGCCAGCTGTGCTTAAACTGGCCTGCAAATGACTCTGTGCCTACGTGAGGGCTGACCAAGGAGGGGCTGGATCGCAGAGGCATCCCAGAATATGATGAAGCTTTCCAGTGTTGCAGTAGGACATCTCGCGTCTGTATCTCCGCTTTGGGGATGTGGGAGGTGTGAATTGGGTAATAGTGGGTGGCCTAAGACTCTTAGGAGAAATGTGCAAAAGCAGATGGGGGAGACCAGCCAGAGAGAGGCAAGGACTCAGGAATGAATCAGCCTCCTTAAGAGAAATGGTGCTGTGAAAGGGTTTGGGTGCTGTAAACCCAACTGGCTCACCAAGGGCCGGACTTGCTAGCTGTGTGGGGAAGAGTCAGGATATGGCTTTGTGTGAAGTTGGGAACAAGTGGAAGTTGGCCATAGCTCACTGGTAGAGCAGCTGCCTTGCATGCAGAAGGTTGCTGGTTCCATCTCTGGCAGATCCAGGTAGAGCTAAGAGAGAGCCCTGCTTGAAACCTTGGAGACCCATTTCCAGACAGTACTGAGTTAGATGGAGCCATCGTCTTACACAGTTCAGGGTGGCTTCCTATGTAGCAGGAGGGTGAAGGAGCTCTTTGCCCTACCCTGAGATTCTCAACACTGACTGGTTAATTACATGAGTGATGGCGAGAAAAGGTAATTGTGCTTCCCTCCAGTTACAACCCATTTGATGGACCAAATGAAAACCCCGAAGCAGAGCTGCCCCTCACAGCAGGAAAATACCTCTATGTGTACGGAGACATGGACGAAGATGGCTTCTACGAAGGTTTGTTGAGATTGGCAATTTATTTTGCTTTTGTTTTTGCCTCTCTTTAACCAACAACAAATTTGGGTGCAGGGGAGCATTCTGGGTTCCACTTGCTCCCCTTGCGATTGTTGGGATATGGGATATCAGGACAGAGTACTCACAGTTCCTTGGCAGCTAGCTTCAAAAGCATCCGACTCGACCGGCAGGGCAAACAGCTCTCCCCCGGAATGTAGGAACTAGTCTTTCGCTGTGTTTTAATCCAAAAACAAACAGCAGGAAAACAGCAGAACTTCGATGAACTGGAGAAGCCTACGATCCGCGTTCATCAGGCAGACATCCATCAGGAACTGGCAGAGGTCGATGGATCAAAACCATCCTCTGCTACCACTTGTTGGAAAACAGCCCCCTTGGCAAAGGCTGACTCCTCTTCCCTGGCACTGGGGTCTGTTGCCGACGATCTGCCCCTGGCTGTTCTTCGGTCAGTCCAGGGAGATCTAAAATAAGCGACACCTCCCTCTTGAGAGATACACACTCCCTTCCCCCTTGCACATCAGCAGGAGAAAGAAAACAGTCTGAAAGTAGTCTAATTCATTCTACTTTATTCCCAGACTGTACACTGTACACGAGCTTGCACAAAACATGTCTGCTCTCTCAGAAAGCTCCGTACATCTCACTGACTCCCCCTTTGCAACAACAACAGGAAGGTCTCAAGTTACACTGAGAACACATCCCTGAGAAGAGCGTTGAACATCCTGTCTCATGCTCAGAAACATCAGATGAATCACATGATGTAAACAATGAGCTGGTAGTTCACAGCTGCTGAGCTCTCATATCCCAACAGCGATTATCCAGCATTCTGAATCATCTAGGGTGGCCCTATAAGTAGAGCACCCTCACTGCTGGAGACATCAGCCCACCAATGCATGGGGAGTTATGGAACTGAACGAGTGGGATGTGGCAGAGAGAGTGGGGTCAGTGAGGGTGCCATTGTTCTCCCCTCATACAAATTCTAATTCTAATTGAATGGTGGGGGTGAAGGCTTTTATCAGATGGTGGCAATGGTGGCTAATTTATTAGGGCAAAGAGGGCTTGGTACCACTGACCTCTGTCTGCCCTTATCCAGCCCCCACTTGCCTGCCTTCTTACCTATAACCAGCCCATGACTGTCAGCTTCCTCCTCCTTAGTCTCATTGATGCCCTTGTAAAGCCCGGTAGCAGCAGGAAACAATGGAGCGTGCCCTTCTTCATTGCCAGTATTACATAGACATTCAAACTAGGTTTATCCAACTCATCTTATATACATTTCCTGGGCATTCAGAACAACACAACATCTCCTTATTACTACATGATGAGAGCCCAGAAGTCACATATTCATTTGCCAGATTTTGCGCTGCCATGATAGATATTCGTTGAAGAATGGTCTATGCTACAATTCAGTCCTAAGCTGAAGGCCCATATTGTTACATCCGCACTTCTGAAGCCCACCCCATATAGCTGTGTTAACCAATCTTTTAATTTTTCTTATAAATTTTTACTCACCCATTATCTATGCTTAATTAAGTATTCTATGTATATGTTTAAATCTATGTTTGGTTCTTGCTCCTATTTATTTAATAATAGATTCATACTGTTATGCTATTTATTTAGATGTTTTGCTTATGCTGGTCTACGACCGTAATAAAGTATTTGAACTTGAGGCTAAAGTAAAGCCCACTAGACAGGAAGGTAGAATTAGTTGACTCTGCCTATCCTTGGCTCTGGTTCCTTCTACTGTTTGCTTCCTACCAGTCCTGAAGGACAGCAGTCACTACTGGCTTAGGTTGGGCTGGGTAAGCACTTCAACAGGGCTAGGGCAGGGATGGTGGTTGAAACTGGCTGTGTTTCCCTTGGCCCATCTTTCAATGTGAATCCAGATGAGTCATTGTGTCTTTTCTGTGTGTTTGTGCAACCTGCCTTCCACCTTTTTTCTCTTTCTCCTCTAGGTGAACTCCTAGATGGACAGAGAGGTCTTGTCCCTTCCAACTTTGTGGATTTTGTGCAGGACAATGAATCCCGTTTGTTGAGTGGGGTGGGCAGCGAACAGGACCAGAATTACATCAACCACACTGGTCACATGTTGGAAGGAGATGGCCTTTTGGAGATAAACCCTCCCAGCCACTTGGAGCCTGGCGTTGTCAATAACAGTGCAGGGACCCTGGATGTGAACATTGATGAAATCGGAGAAGACATTGTGCCTTATCCTAGAAAAATTACCCTTATCAAACAACTAGCCAAAAGTGTTATTGTGGGCTGGGAGCCTCCGGTCGTGCCACCTGGATGGGGAACCATTCATAGCTACAACGTCTTGGTAGACAAAGAAATACGGATGAGTGTGTCCTTGGGGAGCAGAACTAAAGCTCTCATAGAAAAACTTAACATTGCTACCTGCACGTATCGAATATCTATTCAAAGCATAACCAGTAGGGGCAATTCTGACGAGCTCCAGTGCACTTTGTTAGTTGGGAAGGATGTCATTGTGGCTCCTTCGCACCTTAAGGTGGACAACATCACCCAGATTTCCGCCGAGCTCACCTGGCTCCCGACCAACAGCAATTACAGTCACGTGATTTTCCTCAACGAAGAGGAATTCGATATTGTCAAGGCTGCCAGATACAAGTATCAGTTTTTTAACCTGAAGCCCAACATGGCCTACAAGGTGAAGGTATTGGCCAAGCCTCACCAAATGCCCTGGCAGCTCCCACTGGAGCAACGGGAAAAAAAGGAAGCCTTTGTAGAATTTTCGACATTGCCAGCAGGTTTGACTCAGTGTTGTTGTTGTTTTTTAGGATATTGCTTGCTGTTGTTTGTTAATTTATGCAGCGCCATTGGTGTACGTGAAAGCTTACAGATTGCAAGAGGGAAGGTCATTTCCTGAAGGATCTGGCATTCTAAACTTTGACACAGAAGATGCCAACGTGGGGTCTTCCAAATGCTGTTGAACTACAAATCCTATCATCCCCGACCAGCATGGTCAAGGACAATGGGATTTGTAGTCCAGGAACATCGGGGTGGGGCACAACATTGACTGCTCCTGGAACATGTCAGTGTTTCAGTTGCACCTACATAAAGGCTTCATTACGGAACCATGACCATTGAACACTGGAAGCAGGGAGTTGTCCTGAAGACTTTGGGGGCAAGATGAGTTTTGGGAAGACTGTCAAAGGAAAGAAGAGAGGTAGCCTCGCACAGGTGCTCTGGGAGGTGAGGGAGAAAGGGTGTATTACCATGAGTGTACAAGTACCCATCTGGAACGCGGGTGGCACTGTGGGTTAAACCACAGAGCCTAGGAGTTGCCGATCAGAAGGTCAGTGGTTCAAATCCCCACGACGGGGTGAGCTCCCGTTGCTCGGTCCCTGCTCCTGCCAACCTAGCAGTTCGAAAGCACGTCAAAGTGCAAATAGATAAATAGGTACCGCTTCGGCAGGAAGGTAAACGGCGTTTCCGTGCGCTGCTCTGGTTCGCCAGAAGCGGCTTAGTCATGCTGGCCACATGACCCGGAAGCTGTACGCCGGCTCCCTCGGCCGATAAAGTGAGATGAGCACCGCAACCCCAGAGTCGGTCATGACTGGACCTAATGGTCAGGGGTCCCTTTACCTTTACAAGTACCTATGACTGCCCGGGCGTGTACACCCAAATAACATGGAATTTGGGACCTCTAACTTAGAGCTGCCGTCTGCCTTCCCCTCTGGGAAGGGCCGTAGTTCACTAGTAATACATCTGCTCTGTACATAGAAGGTCCCAGATTCAATCTCTAGGTAGGGCTGGGAACATCCCCTACCTGAAACCTGGTGCCAATCAGTGGTAGACAGCACTTATCTAGATGGACCAAAGGGCTGACTCGATATGAGGCAGTTTCCTATGTTCCTGTGCCATGGGGAAGGATCAGCAAGCCAGCAAGACAAGTAGCCAAGGTTTCGGTAGCTTGAATGCATAGTTTATTGCAGAAATGGGATAAGTACATGCGCCACATTTAGATTGCACCATCAGTTATCCAGGCAAGCAAATGGACACATTCTAGCCAGGTGAAACACCTGGGGTGCAAAGCAAGGCCAGGGATGGGTGTGGCCTGGGGAGAACCCTGTGGGCCAAATAGAGAGGCCGGGGGGGCCATATCTGGTTCCTGGGCCTAAGGTGCCCCACCCCTGGTCTAGATGGAGACATCCATGTTTCCCAAGCAGGGTCAGTGGGACTTTCAAAGCTAAAAAAACAAAAAAGTGGTCTTCTCAGATCGTAAAGGTCTGGATGCAGGTGTCTTAAATGGCACACCTTGAGAGTTTGAGCTCAGCAAGGCGGTCCACATATAAAAGGGTCTTCAAGGATTGCCCCTGTAGAACTGACTTGGGGGAGGGCTTCATTCCCCAAAATGACACACGCCCTGTTTCCCAAGGGAAAGCTAAGCAGGATTCCTGGTATACAGAGACGTGCTAGTACTTTTTCTCAACCCATAAGGATTTTGTTGCCTGGCAATAACAATTCAGAGATGTTCGGGGCTGTTGTAGGATTGCCGGCACTGTGAATTGATTGTTACGGTGGAGGGGGCAGCCCTTTCCCTCCGAAAGCTTTTTAGCTTGTTCAGTTTAGCCAGGATGTTGCCAAATATGTGGCAGAACTCATGAAATATACATAACCTTAATAATCACAGGGATATTTTTAGGCTAG